TTTTTTTTTTTTTTTTTTTTTTTTTTTTTTTTTTTTTTTTTTTTTTTTTTTTTTTTTTTTTTTTTTTTTTTTTTTTTTTTTGAAGTATATAAATATTATTATTGTTAACCGGGTCTTTCGCCTTCGTATGTTCTATTTAGTTGAATCCAAATTGGAACCTTTCCTCCTCTTTTTATGCTCTTTTCCAATCCACGATTCCAGCCTGCATCCTACGACCAATTTGAAGAACGAAATAAATAAAAATTAATAAAAATAAAAAATAAATTATCCACTTGGTTCAAAATGGGGAGAAACTGCCACGTTTCACCCATCTCCAATTCTAATTTTCAATTATTTTATTTTATGTTTCGAATCATAAATTATAAAATTAGGGTTGAGATATAATATTTAGAGAATATATTAATTATGAAATATATCTCAGATATTATGTCTTGATTATAGAATATTTTATTTTATTTTTACTATTTAATTAATTTATATTTTCTTTATTCCTAGGTATTAGTTATAACTTGTATTCTATTTAAACGTTATGAATATCAATGAGAATACATACTTTCGATTCCAAGTCTATTTCTATTTCTCATTTTTAACCATTAGTCCTTAAAACTTATTTTTTTAAAAAAAAAAATTAACTTTATAATAACTTATATCAAACAAATCTATTAATTTTCTAAAATTATGATCATATTAAACAATAAATAAATAAATAAATATATATATATATATATATTTATGAGACATTTTTAAAATCAATTAACTTTCTATTTTGATTTAAAGATATGGGCTTGGTCAAACTGGATGAGAAAAACTAATTAAATTATATGGTCAACTTTCTAGTTTCCATCAACAAAATGGAAGACTTATTATTTTAGATAATTCCCAGAAGAATTACACATTACAACTCACTCTACAATGGATATGTTTGAATAAAGTTGGCATAAATTTAAGACTTTTTCGCCCATATTATCTGATTTTTGTGAAGCATAATAATTGTCAATGCTATTATTTATTAATGAATAAAGTCTTTGCCTCCCCCAATCAATAAATGGAATTATCTAATTTTTTTAATATTTACACAGTATGTTTGTATCCTAACATTTTTCCGCAACATGATTAAGTTATTTACGTACTATCTCTGAATCCTTCCAACATATTTGGTCCCCACTCACATGCATGTCAAGAAAATTCGTATATGGTCATAGAATTGATCTAAGTAAAACATGTTTAACCATCAAATTCCTAATGTGATTCCGACAGGAAATTTTTTGCCTAATTATAGAGAGGCAAAACAAAATAAAAAGAAAATAAAAAAGTGTTTTTTTAGGATACAAAATTAAGAAAGTCTTACTTTAATTATTATAAAGAGACAAAACAAAATTAAGTGACAATTTAGATAAATCATTTAAAGGTGTAGGTGAAATTATATATATCATGTTGGTTAAATATATTAAAATATTGCCACCTGGACATGGGGGATTTTTCTAATTAAAAAAACAGAAAAAAAAAATGGTTAAATTGTATTACTATATTATTTTTCACATTTTTATTCTTTATATTTTTTCTGTTAATTTGGAGCTTTGCGATTTGTCGAAGACAACAAGCATCTCATTTCTTTCCGACTTCCTTCCATTAAATAAATAAATAAATAAGTCTATTATGTTCTTTAAAAAATCCTAATATATTTTTAAAAATATATATTAAAGAGATTTAAATTTCAAAACATTATATTTTTACACCATATAAAATTATTAGTAATCTTACACTAATTACGTCCAATAAATGTAACAATTTAAATGCAAATTTGACTATTCCTCAAAAAAAAAAAAAAAAAAAAAAAAAAAAAAAAAAAAAAAAAAAAAAAAAAAAAA